GCTGGTTGGGGGGTGGTCGGTGGAGAGAGGTTTGGGGTGTGAGTGAGGGGGCCCTTCCCACTGGGTGGGGGGGGGTCAGTGGTAAGAGGTTAAGGGAGGGACACTTCACATGGTAAGTAGGGTCATTTGGCTTATTATTTTTCCTTTACATTATGTTCACTTTGTTATTAGTCATAAAGATTGCTATAGCCTTGCACATCAATGCCCTTATCACTTGTTATATTACTTATGTCGATAATTTAATACTCATCTGAATATTTATTTCCATTTCTCTGTCGACATCTGGCAATAATTTGCTAGTGCCACTCGACCATAATTTATTCCCATATATTACACCATATATTGTACACTATGCTCTGGGGATTAACCCTTTGACTGTAGCAAGCCCCTTTCTGAAACTCATTCTATGTCGAAAAATTTTTGGAAAAAAAAAAAATTTTGTTTTCTTATGAAATGATAGAGAATCTTTTCCTGATGGTAATGACACCAAAAGTACGAAATTTGGTTGAAAACTCGTGGAATTACGCTCCCGCGAAGTCAGCGATCTCGGTGACATATACGCATCGGCGATTTTGCCGACTTTGAGCCCTATTTTTGGCCAATTCCATTGTTCCAGTCGACCAAACTCATAGCTATTTCTTTAGAACTCCATTTTTTCTATCAATTGAGTACAAGAAACTGCCCATTTGCCAATTTGAACTACCCAATAAAGTGGTCAGAAATTGTCAATTTGGCCAATTTCATGCAAATTAAAAAAGATGCCACTTTCAAAATAGGGTCCAGAATAAACAATGCAGACATCCTTGGCACTAAAATAACATATCCTCTGTTCATTAGTCATGTCTCCAGGCCCCTCTTATATTACTCTTGCTTTCTATTTTGATTTTTTATTCACACAAAAAATAGAAGATTTACTGTTATGCAGACTACTGCATTATTGTAAAAATGGTATAAATAATATCAGTGCACTAGTGAAAAAATATTAGACTCCCCAGTTGATGTGTATTGGATATGTGATGTGATTTGCTTACTCTTGAACATTGGTAAAAATTGAACATTTCCACTACTTTGAGCTCAGTTTCAAGGCGTTTTCATCATGAAACTAATCAAAATCATCTCTATTTCTGTAATATGTTTTCCATTCTATCAAATGAGACCACGAAAATGAGAATACAGCCATTAATACTATATGAAAATACACCTCAAAGTTGGCGTTTTAATCCAAACACATGGTCAGAGTTTTTTTTTTTCTCATTATGCACTGCATGCTGCAAGATTTTTTTTATTTAATGCACACTGACCACACAGACCCATTCTCTCACATGTGGGCCTACCAGCTTTCTCCTGCTTGATTTGAAGCCGCTAGAATTATTGAGTATATATACGTCCGAAATACAGTGGACCCCCGGTTAACAATATTTTTTCACTCCAGAAGTATGTTCAGGTGCCAGTACTGACCGAATTTGTTCCCATAAGGAATATTGTGAAGTAGATTAGTCCATTTCAGACCCCCAAACATACACGTACAAACGCACTTACATAAATACACTTACATAATTGGTCGCATTCGGAGGTGATCGTTATGCGGGGGTCCACTGTACTGGCTCGTAAGACATATATACACCTACCATCCGACTTACGACCGAGTTCGGTTCCGAGAAACCGGTCGTAAGTTGAAATGGACGTAAGTCGAACTTTACTACTGAATATCAACATAACATTATTGTAATGACTTTATTTTATTGTTTTATTTTGGTATTTCATGTTTTACTTTACTTTTAATGCTATTAGTACTGTATTTTATACTGTAAGGTTTAGGATAAACACTGTACAACACAAACAGTTGTTTATTTCCCAGAAATTTGGCATAAAAAAGCACGGTCATAAGTCGAGTGGTCGTATGTCGAGGAGGTCGTAAGTCGGATGGTAGGTGTATACGACCAAAACAGTCAAAGGGTTGATTAAGATTACTCTTAGCCACAGTTTCAGTTCACAATATCACTGCACATTCATATCCTTATCCCTTGCTATGTTACTTATACGATAGTTTAATACTCATCCGATGATGAAAGTGTTTCTTCTTTTTCGAATCATCCTGCCTTGGGAAATGGCCGATGTGTTAAAAAATTTATCTTTAAAAACACAGGAAGTGAGTTCATTTTTTCAGTGTATGGGTGCTTTCTTATGGTTCTTTTCACACCTTCTCAGTGAGTAAACAACTCCTTAATTTGTGCAGCTGTTATCATATGGTCATATTCCTCCACTTCTTCCTCCCCACTATGCTTCTTATCCATCTTCCCTAATTCCTGCAGCTCCTCTGGTGTCAGCTCCTGTCTGTGGTCCTGAATTAACTCCGCAGCATCCTCTTTATCAGCCTACAGCCCCATTTCCTCACCAAGAGCAACAGTCTCCTGGTTTACATCCTCCTCAGTCTCAAATTCTTAAAAGTCATAGGTGACTGAAGGCTACAGGTTCTTACATGCTACATTGAGGCATCAAGTGGAAACTTCATTCCAGGAATTCACTATGAGTATCTGCATTATGTTCAGTATATACAGCACACAGTGTTTTATATACAAGAGGATAACTAGTAGGTACATAGTGGGAATTATTACATATTGCAAACTACCAGAATGATAAATACAGTGGACCCCCGCATAGCGACCTTAATCCGTGCAAGAGGGCTGGTTGTTATGCGAAATGTTCGGTATGCGAATGAATTTTCCCCATAAGAAATAATGGAAATCAAATTAATCCGTGCAAGACACCCAAAAGTATGAAAAAAAATTTTTTACCACATGAAATATACATTTTCCTACACACAAAGAGAAGGATACATGCACAATAGTAGAGTAGTACATGCACAATATATATTGTGCATGTACTACTCTACTAAATGAAGAATAAATGACACTTACCTTTATTGAAGATGCAGCAATGACTGATGAGACACTGTGTCCTGGGAGTGCCTTTTCCTCCTGAGTACTGTAGGTCCTGTTTGGCATTTTCTTCCAGAACAGGCCTTATCACACTGTGTATGCCACTACGATTCTTAAATCTCTCAAACCAACCTTTGCTGGCTTTAAATTCACCAATATGAGCACTAGTTCCAGGCATTTTTCCCTGTTCACCTGGGTGTTAGTCGACTGGTGTGGGTTGCATCCTGGGAGACAAGATTAAGGACCCCAATGGAAATAAGTTAGACAGTCTTCGATGACACTGACTTTTTTGGGTTATCCTGGGTGGCAAATCCTCTGGGGTTAATTGTTTCTTGGTATTCTCAATAAGCCACACCAACAACGGTGCTACAGCAGCAGCTGACGGTGGTACAGCAGCAACAGACGATGCTACAGCAGCAACAGACGATGCTACAGCAGCAGCAGACGATGCTACAGCAGCAACAGACGATGCTACAGCAGCAGCAGACGATGCTACAGCAGCAGCAGATGATGCTACAGCAGCAGCAGACGATGCTACAGCAGCAGCAGACGATGCTACAGCAGCAGCAGATGGTACTACAGCAGCAGCAGCAGCTGACGGTGGTACAACAGCAGCAGCAGCTGACGGTGCTACAGCAGCAGCTGATGGTGGTACAGCAGCAACAGACGATGCTACAGCAGCAACAGATGATGCTACAGCAGCAGCAGACGATGCTACAGCAGCAACAGACGATGCTACAGCAGCAGCAGACGATGCTACAGCAGCAACAGACAATGCTACAGCAGCAACAGACGATGCTACAGCAGCAGCAGACGATGCTACAGCAGCAGTAGACGATGCTACAGCAGCAGCAGACGATGCTACAGCAGCAACAGACGATGCTACAGCAGCAACAGACGATGCTACAGCAGCAACAGACGATGTTACAGCAGCAGCAGACGATGCTACAGCAGCAGCAGACGATGCTACAGCAGCAGCAGACGATGCTACAGCAGCAACAGACGATGCTACAGCAGCAGCAGACGATGCTACAGCAGCAGCAGACGATGCTACAGCAGCAGCAGACGATGCTACAGCAGCAGCAGACGATGCTACAGCAGCAGCAGACGGTACTACAGCAGCAGCAGCAGCTGACGGTGGTACAACAGCAGCAGCAGCTGACAGTGCAGCAGCAGCTGACAGTGCAGCAGCAGCTGACGGTGGTACAGCAGCAGCAGCAGCTGTACCACCAATAGTAGCGATGGTTGATTGGGGTTTATTATACAACCTGGCCAGCTCGGAGACACGCACTCCACTTTCATACTTATCAATGATCTTTTTCTTCATCTCTATAGTAATTCTCACCCTTATTGCTGTAGGGTTGGCACTAGAAGCTTTCTTGGGGCCCATGGTCACTTATTTTCCAGAAAAAAATCACCAAAAACACTGTAATAATACGAAATGTTCCGATTGTATGCTTGGATGTTACCGCGGAGGCTGGCTGGTAAACAATGCCACCGGCAGAACATGTGAGCGTGGCTCAGGCCGCACATTGGACGCGTCTCGGATGAAGGGCGGTGAGCGGGTTTTTGGGCGGTATGCGAGGCAAAATTTTTGCTATCAAAGCGTCCAGTATGCGGATTGTACGGTATGCGATGCGTACGATATGCGGGGGTCCACTGTACTGTAGAGTGCTCTCAGTAGAATAATACTGGCATGTAGTACCGAAACTAATAGCAATAAAGACACTGTACTGTACTTTATAATTTGCTGCAGGAAATAAAATATTTATTAGGGTCAGGTTAGTTTTTCACATTTTTCTGTTAACTGTTTTCCTTGTTATATGTTTTTAACATTTTTCCTTTTCAGAATTCATTTATTGAGAACAGTACATTTTTCAGCAGTTTTAGTTACAAAATATGATGCTGGAGTTAAAATGTTTATAAAAATTAAATATTTGGCTGAATCAAATGCATCAAGTTTTAAGTTTGTATTTTCCTCCACTGTTAAATTTTATTCATTTGTATTTACAGTAGTTTGCTCTTCCTTTGAGTTAAGACTATTCTATATAATTTTTACAGGTCGTCTGTGAATTATGTGGTGGTAAATTTTCTGATAGATCAAGTTTACGTAACCATATGAAAAACATTCATGGGGAGCGCAAGTATGAATGCGAGACCTGTGGGAAAATGTTTGCCACCCCTGGCATGCGCAATCATCACATAAATGAAATGCACAATAATACCTACAATTATGAATGCAATCTGTGTGGTGAACAATTCCATGTCAGTTTTAAATACAGGTATGTATACACAGCTGAAAATGTGTTTTTTATTTGTATATTACTGTATATGTAGATATTTCTTATGCCTTAACCCTTTCATTGTCATTCCCGTAATATTACGGCTTGAGAGCCAGTGTCAGTCCCGTAATACTATGCCAAAATTCTAGTGGCTTCAAATCCAGCTGGAGAAAGCTGGTAGGCCTACATGTGAGAGAATGGGTCTGCGTGGTCAGTGTGTACAGTATTAAAAGAATTGGGGCACCCACATTGCATTGTGGGAATGCCATTTCAGTAGTCCTTGTTTACCGTGCCTTGCGGTAAGAATTAGCTCACTCTCTGGCGTATTTGGGACTCTTCTCTTCCCAAGTGATAGCTCTAACACAGATGGAAGTGTCAGTGAAGATGAATTTCATGGTTTTGAGGAGTTTGTGACCAAAAGCAATGCCCAGGATACCAGATACAGATAGTGAAAAGGGAAGACAGTGTGGGTGGTGGGGAAGGCAGCTTAGATGGTGGGAAAGATGGTGTAGGTGGTTGGGAAGATGGTGTGTAAGTTTATTCAGGTATACATGAATACAGTTACATAGATTATCATACATAGCAGCATGTGTAGAGAACCTAGGATAACCCAAAAAAAGTCACTTATTTCCAGAATGAGTGGTAGGGAAGAGAGTATGTGTGTGGGTAAGGCAGCATGGGTGTGGGTAAGGCAGCATGGGTGTGGGGAGGGCAGCCTGAGTGGTGGGGAAGGCAGTGTGGATGGTGCGGATGATGGTGTGGGTGGGGAAGACAGCACGGGTAGTTGGGAAGATTGTGTGTAAGTAAGTTTATTCAGGTATACATTAATACAGTTACACAGATTATCATACACAGCAGCATGTGTAGAGAACCTAGGATAACCCAAAAAAGTCAGAGTGGCTTATTTCCAGCATGGGTGGTAGGGAAGACAGTGTGGGTGGTGGGGAAGATGGTGTAAGTGTGGAAGGCAGCATGGGTTTGTGGAAACAAGTTATGTCAACATTATAATGATAACAATGTTTGTGCAGTTATTGTGTTGCATACAATGAGTGGATATATATACATTATGCATTATATTGGTCTCACAGGCCACAACAGTTACTTGAAAAAATAAAATACACCTACCATCCGACTTATGACTGGTTGGTCGGAACCAAGCTTGGTCGTAAGTCGAAATGGACGTAAGTCGAACCTTTGAAAATTGCCGACATATTGGGTAGGGCATAATGTCAAAATTTTCCTATATAAACTACCTACAGTAATGGTGAAGCTGGAGGTGCTGTCCTGGGAGACAGTAATGGTGAAGTTGGAGGTGCTGTCCTGGGAGACAGTAATGGTGAAGCTGGAGGTGCTGTCCTGGGAGACAGTAATGCTGAAGTTGGAGGTGCTGTCCTGGGAGACAGTAATGGTGAAGCTGGAGGTGCTGTCCTGGGAGACAGTAATGGTGAAACTGGAGGTGCTGTCCTGGGAGACAGTAATGGTGAAGCTGGAGATTTTGTCCAGGTAGTCAGGAATTATACGCAGGAAGGAACACATATAAATGACCTCATAGGGGACAGGAGCCATAGTGGGGAAACAAGTGTAGTCAAAGATAAGATAAAACCAATATTGCAAACTAGAAATACCACAGGAAATAGCAAACAAGAGGACTCCACTAGCAATAGTGAGGATATATTACCAAAAACAACTGGTGGGAGCTCCATTGTTGGTGCTAGGGAGGATAGGAATAAGACAGGGAAACATGCACCAACAGGGAATACAGTCACAGAAACCCAAGGCAAATGGAAACCAAGCCTGTGCACATACTATGCACTTGGTATCTGCAGACATGGAAATCTGAAAAACAGACGGGACGTGCAACTATGACCACCCTAGAAAATGCCATGCCCATATGACAACAGGAAAATGCAAACTCCCTTCCTGTAAGCTTTTTCACCCTGAACTGTGTACCTCTTCAGTACAGGAAAGACTGTGCTATAACTTAAATTGTCAGGCACACCATCTAAAGGGGACAAAAAGATACAAAACATCCAGGCCATGGGAAAACCTGGGTAGCCACAGCCACTCAAGAGGGAGAGGTTTTTTAGTGCCAGGAAGGAAAAAAAACTGGCAGGAAATGGCAGAAATCGTACACCAAATCCAGTCATTCCTGGAGTGGAACCACAGTCGATGGCCTCCACTCCAAACCAACAGATACAGATACTAATGCCGAAAAAAAAATCCCCCCCCCCAGTACCAACAATACCACCAGTCCGATGACATTCGTCTTTGCGAATATACAGGGTCTAAAGCCAGCAACAAACGACAAAATACCTTTCATCCGAGGACTGCTTGCAGAGGCAAAGGCAATGTTCGCGGCTTTCACTGAGACCCACATGAAGGATCACTTGGACAACGAAATATGGATCCCAGGTTACAACCTATACAGATGTGACAGAGTGAACAGGCAAAAGGGGGGGTTGGCCTGTACATTGCAGAGTCACTTGTTTGCACAGAACTGCTTAATGCCTCAAATGATGTAGTGGAAGTTTTAGCAGTAAAGGTCGAGAACCAAAACCTAGTCATTGTGGTAATCTACAAGCCTCCGGATGCAACATCCCAGCAATTCCAGGAACAGCTGTTAAAAATTGACCACTGTCTGGAAAAAATCTTCCAGCTCCTGCACCCAACATCTTGCTCCTGGGGGATTTCAACTTAAGGCACCTAAAATGGAGGAATATAGCAAATAATATTGTTGCAGTAATAACACCAGGAGGCAGCTCTGATGAAAACTCTCACTCACACGAGCTTTTAAATCTCTGCACAAAATTCAATTTAAACCAGCAAATAATAGAGCCTACTAGACTGGAGAATACACTAGACCTCATCTTCACTAACAATGATGATCTGATAAGAAATGTCACCATATCAAAAACAATATACTCAGATCACAACATAACTGAGGTTCAGACATGTATGCGTGGAGCCCCAGACCGACATAATGAAAACTAGTCACGAGGGAGCATTCACCAAATTCAACTTCAATAACAAAAACATAAAGTGGGACCAAGTAAACCAAGTCCTAACCGATATAAGCTGGGAAGATATACTAAGCAACACAGACCCCAACTTATGCCTAGAACAGATTAACTTGGTGGCACTCGATGTATGCACCAGGCTTTTTTCCTCTAAGAAAAAGGAGGAGTAGATGTAAAATAGAAAGAGACAGGTGCTCCCTTTACAGGCGACGGAAAAGAATAACAGAGCGGCTAAAAGAGGTCAATATATCTGAAATGCGTAGGAGACACTGGTCAGAGAAATAGCAAGCATCGAACTTAAGCTAAAGGAATCTTATAGGAGTCAGGAATCGCGGGAAGAACTAAAAGCCATAATGAAATCGAAAGAAACCCAAAGTATTTCTTCTCCTATGCCAAATCAAAGTCGAGAACAACGTCCAGTATTGGGCCCCTACTTAAACAAGATGGGTCCTACACAGAGACAGCAAGGAAATGAGTGAGCTACTCAAGTCCCAATATGACTCAGTTTTTTAGCAAGCCGCTAACCAGACTGAGAGTCGAAGATCAAAATGAATTTTTTATGAGAGAGCCACAAAATTTTGGTTAACACAAGCCTATCCGAGTTATCCTGATGCCAGATGACTTCGAACAGGCGATAAAGGGACATGCCCATGCCTCTGCCCCAGGGCCAGACTCATGGAACTCCGTGTTCATCAAGAACTGCAAGAAGCCCCTATCACGAGCCTTTTCTATCCTATGGAGAGGGAAGCATGGACACGGGGGTCGTCCCACAGTTACTAAAAACAACAGACATAGCCCCACTCCAAAAAGGGGGGCAGTAAAGCAACAGCAAAAAAACTACAGACCGATAGCACTAACATCCCATATCCTAAAAATCTTTGAAAGGGTCCTAAGAAGCAAGATCACCACCCATCTAGAAACCCATCAGTTACACAACCCAGGGCAACATGGGTTTAGAACGGGTCGCCCCTGTCTGTACTCAACTATTGGATCACTACAACAAGGTCCAAAATTTGCACTAAAGACAAAAAGAATGCAGATGTAATATAACAGACTTTGCAAAAGCCTTCGACAAGTGTGACCATGGCGTAATAGCGCACAAAATGCGTGCTAAAGGAAATTTAACAGGAAAAGTCGGTCGATGGATCTATAATTTCCTCACTAACAGAACACAGAGAGTAGTCGTCAACAGAGTAAAGTCCGAGGCAGCTACGGTGAAAAGCTCTGTTCCACAAGGCACGTACTCGCTCCCATCTTGTACCTCATCCTCATATCCGACATAGACAAGGATGTCAGCCACAGCACCGTGTCGTCCTTTGCAGATGACACCCGAATCTGCATGACAGTGTCTTCCATTGCAGACACTGCAAGGCTCCAGGCGGACATCAACCAAATCTTTCAGTGGCTGCAGAAAACAATATGAAGTTTCAACGATGAGAAATTTCAATTACTCAGATATGGTAAACACGAGGAAATTAAATCTTCATCAAGTACAAAACAAATTCTGGCCACAAAATAGAGCGAAACACCAACGTCAAAGACCTGGGAGTGATCATGTCGGAGGATCTCCCTTCAAGGACCATAACATTGTATCAATCGCATCTGCTAGAAAAATGACAGATGGATAATGAGAACCTTCAAAACTAGGGAGGCCAAGCCCATGATGACACTCTTCAGGTCACATGTTCTATCTAGGGTGGAATATTGCTGCACACTAACACACCTTTCAAGGCAGGTGAAAATTTCTGACCTAGAAAATGTACAGAGAACCTTCACGGCACGCATAATGGAGATAAACACCTCAATTACTGGGAGCGCTTGAGGTTCCTAAACCTGTATTCACTGGAATGCAGGCGGGAGAGAATACATGATTATATACACCTGGAAAATCCTAGAGGGACAGTACCGAACTTGCACAAACGAAAATCACCCCACTACGAAAGCAAAAGACTTGGCAGACGATGCAACATCCCCCCAATGAAA